GAAATCGAGGTTTTTCCATTTTTTGGACCAACTCTAACTAAAAGAAGTTTTGGGCGATAAAGACATGCTCAAAAGCTGAAAGTTTGATCAGCAACTGATAACCCGTAAACGTTTCTATCGAATGATGTGTGTTTGAATTTTTTTTGCGCAATTCTCTTGGTTAGGAAACGTGAAATACTCAGGAAGTAAGGTTTTCCAATTGTGTGAAACACCGCATTTTTGCTTTAACTCAGTCAAATTAAGCCGGAACTTAACCATTTTCTCAGAATTTATAGTACTCAACGTAGGCTTTCTTTTGGCAAAAGAACGGAGTCTGTATCTATCAAGGAAGTTGAGTTATTGCAAAAACAAAAAAGGTCTTAAACTTTTATGGAGCACTTTTACTGGTACCGGTACTGGTACTGGTGCATACCTAGTTAAGAGTCAATAATTTTAAGAGAATATATCTTTTGTATTACAGCAGCAGTCATAATTTTTATTTAATTAAAATATTCGATATTTCAGTTACTCATGTAATCATTATCAAGAATATACACATGTTTAATGTTCAACAAAATTATAACAAAAACATTAACAAATAATTTTATTGAACAGTAAACATGTGTATATTCTTGATAATGACTACACGAGTAATGGAAACATCGAACTGTATAGATATAATCCTCAATATATTGCAACATTTTCTGTCTAAGGGAGAAGCGAGAAATCTTGCTTAATTACCGCGTTCTAGTCACTCAACAAAACATGTATTTAGTCTACATTACTAAACTAACGAAAATGCAGTAGAACACGTACGTAACATGTGTAACAGTTTGTATTCTTTATTGTACATCTATTTATCGGATGCTACTAGGACCATTTCTTTTTCTTACCATCCAAGAGGTTTAGAATATCGATCTAAGACAAATTACTAATTAGAAAATTTATATCATCTTGATAGTGTTCTTTGCACAAAGTGTCATTTCAAATTAGAAGTGATTCTCAATAAATTCTTTTTCAAGCATGAACTTGCCTAAAACTGATAACCCGATAAATTCCATCGATAATGATAAAATAAGATTAAGTCAAACTTTTTTACAAAAATCATCTGAAACATCGATTCGAACGGATAAGATTTTCAAATAAATTTGCTGTGGGCATGATAAACAATTTTTTTCAGCTAGTCTAATGGTAGAGATGGGCGAGTTCGAGTCACGACTCGCATTTTTCTATGACTCGGACTCGAACTCGGGCTTGAGGTGAAAGACTGGATAAACTGACTCGAGTCACTTTCGAGTCAGTCATGTGCCACTTGGGATTATTATTACGGCATTTATTATATTTGTTATATACTAGAAGAGAGAAAGAGATTTGAGAATATTCTACGTAACATTGTGTCACATGAGAGGAGTGAAGATCTGTTCTTGAAAAAATGCATCAGAGAGAAGTTTTCCTCTAGAAAATGACTCGAGTTAATTTTTGATGCGACTCGAATCTCGACTCGAAGGCTACTGACTCGGACTCGAAAAAGTGATGACTCGTCCATCTCTGTCTAACGATTCATATAAAATATATGATGATCAAGATTTATAGTTATTTCAAATAATAGACTATTGACTACAGCATATGACAATTGAAGTTTTTTAATTATAATCTGTTACTAATTGCAACGTAACACATATATATACACGTAAACATTCATTCATATAATATACTCTTTCTTTTCATAGTGTCATCTTTGTATTTTGTACAAAAGAAGAAAAACAAAATATCCAACAAGAGAATAGAGAGAGAAGAAGAAAAAAAAATACAAAATTTTTTTCTACTAGTCAGTCCAAAGATGAAATATACACAGTGTTTTCACTTATTAGAGAACAAACAACAAAGAAATTGCGCAGTAGTCAAAAAATCGATATATAGAGACAACAACAATTAGATAACAACAAAATAATAATCATCCTGCATCCATAAAACAGTGTACCCAAATACAAAAAGAAACAAAAAAATGGACTTCTATTAGTTGTCTGGCAAGAGTAAACGAAAGATACACACACAGAAACAGTAACAATTAACATATACTGTACAAATCCAGACAATCACCAAAAAAAAAAAACAAAAAAAAAAAAAAAAAATTAAAAAAAAGGAAGAGAGTGTAAAGAATTTGGGCGGCGGGGGGGGGGGGTTGGGGGTTAAATGGGGGGTAGTGTGGNTACTTCCTCTCTTCGTTCTTCTCTCATTAATCTTCGGAATGTGTCTCTTGTTTTGTTTCTTAGACTAATTGAGGTATCTGACAATTTATATGTGCGGGATAGGTTGAATAAAGGAATGATGTGATTAACTTAGAATAATCAGTTTGACACAATTGTGATAGAAAGATACAAAACAAACAAGACAACAACAAAAATAAATAACTTTTTCCAATTTTATACATGTGTATTGCACAAAAATAAAAAACAAAAACAAAAAGAAAACAAAAGAAGAAAAAAAAAATGGTCCATAATATGTTGAATATCACTGTGTCTATATGTTTTGAGAGAATAAAATAATTATAATATTTTTTTATTCATCCGTTTGTTCATCATCACCTTGCGTCAAACTAAACGAAAAGAAAAATAAGATAATTATAGAATAGTTAATATAATAAGTAGTATAGTGAAAAAAGTGAGTATTACTAGCTCAAATAATGTTGACTAGCATATCTGTCCAATAAAACAATGACAATAGTCAAATATGTTTGTTGAATAGCTTTTGATTAAAGATTCGAGTGTGTTTGGTTTTTTTTCACCATTTAAAAGAAGATTCATAAATCAGTGATAATTAATTCAAATAACTATTGAAAACATTTTTTAGATTTTATTTAGAATACTGTGTATCCTACAATATTTGTTGTTTTCATCACTTCAACTGATTTATAAATATTTCAATATTAAGAAAAATTCACATAATTTAACGATTTTTAGTACATTTTTACAATTTTCTATGAGAATAAATATTATCATGACACTGTGGATAATCTATGTTTTTAAGCCATTTGAAAAGCTATCCATAGAAGCGAGAAATTAATCCTAGAACTCGTAGAACATTCGATGTCTCATTTAGAAAGATGAAAAACGAAGAGCTTAGTGGATTCTTATTTGAAGTGAACAATTTAGGTTCACTTCCCTCTTTCAAATGGCGAAAAATCCAATTCAATGTATTTTCAATCAATAATTATTCAAACAAATAGTCACGACCATTGTTGTATTCGATAGACAGTACGAACAGAGAACTGCTGTGTATCCTTTCTTTTCTCATACACAGATCTATCGATTGTTCTATCATAATATTTAATATTCTCTTTCAAAGTTCTTCATTACAACTCACTGAATCCGTTAGTTCTACTTTTTACAAGAAAATATGCGCTATCATCAAACAAGTGAAAGCAGCAAACAGTACTAAGTTAGTGATCAAATCCTTTCACTCAGTAAAGCGCATAGCATTTTGTTTTTGGAAAAAGCTTATCTCGCATATATGTGTTATAACTTTGAAACTTGCCGATTGTTTTATTATTATTATTATTATTATTATTTATATATAGATTAAATTCAATGTATTGAAGATATTTTTATTTTTTAACACTTTTCCTTTTCGTTTGACGATTTTTAACATCTTGAATAGTAGTACAGGTACGGTGATAACATTTTTCTCTAAAGTTGAGAAAAGAAAAAACAACAACAAGAAACACACAAACAACTAAGTTTAATAAACAAATAGAAATTATTCTTTCAACTCTATTATTAAGTGAAATATGTGCATAAAGGAAAATAAATAAATCTTTTTTTTCAAATTTACCTCATGTCATTTTGTTCTTCATCTTGTTCAGTCTCATTTGGCTGATTATATTCAATCATTTCTTCTTCTTCTTCTTCATCTTGTGTTCCGTTTTGTTCTACAACGCTTTGTTCATCGGACTGCTGACCATCATCTTCTTCATCTCCATATTCTCCACCTTCATGTTCACCATTATCTGTACTATCGCCAACCGATGCAACAGCCAACGCTAGTTCATGATTAATTAAACCCTAAAAATAAATAATCAAACGTTGATTAGTTTCGTTCATATTCAAACTATCAAAAGAGAGAAAAATTTATCATTCCTATCGATTAGTTTAGTCATTAACGTAAGAATTGATCATGTCTCTATTATAGAGCTGTCACGGTCAAAATATGTTTACTCAAGTCTGTTCATATTCACAAGCAAAAGGTTCGTTATCAGAACTGTACAGGTTCTACTACATAACTCTAATTCACTATGTTCGAGTAAAAGACATTTCAACATACTTTAAAATCTTTGTAATCATCTTCTATATTAAATGGTAACGAATACAATTGATTTTCATCTGATAAACGACCAGATGACATATTATGACTAAAAAAAAAACAAATAGAAATAAAATTAAGTCATCAATAAATTATAGTTAATTTACCTGTACGGTGATGATGTTTCATTTGGTGCTCCACGTTGTGCTCGTCGTTTACAAAATTCATTTTCATCAACTGTCCATACGGCACCTTTGATATTTTCTACACGCATAAAACATTTATGTAAACTCAAATTATGACGTACAGCATTCTAAAATATAAAAATAAATAGATTCGATCATAGATTAATATCTAACATACGATAAAAGAATATGTATAAATTTTTTTCAACACTGTATAATTCTTACCTTCCATGTTTGTGCATTTTTTCTGAAATATAAAAATTGTGCTTCAAACCATTTATAAATTTCATTTAATGTCAATTGACTCTCAGGTGATTCGAGTATGGCCTAAAATAAGAAAATAAAAAGAAGATAAAATTTATGTAAATGAGAAATAGTCATTTTTCAAATATACTTGACGAATTAATGTGGCATATGTAAATGGTGGACGAACATCGGTTGATTTGTAAAACTCTCGATTCTTCAATTCTAAATATAGAAAATATTATCTTTAGATAACAATTCGTTCATAGGACGACTAAAATTTTCAGTAAATCACTATTTCGTAAAAAAACTGAAAAGTTAAATCTGTTAGTTAGAAAGAAGATATACAATGACATTTCATTGTTTCAAATATGTTGGTATAAGCTTTATTTTGTCAGAATACAAGCGGAAAAATATTCCGTTATAGTAGTCTAAACTAAAACTATCGAAAAACACAAAATCAATTTTTGTACGAACAGGGATTCGAACACATGAAGTTAGTTTTGCAGTAAACTGCAAAACTAAATCCAATGTTCTGTGTCTATATTCTGTACAACGATTGAAGTTGTGCAATCGACTCGATGTTATCAGTAGTAATTTTTTGGTATGTTTTTTGTGTTCTGTTTGTTATAAGCTTTATTCTGTCAGAATACAAATATGTTTTATCCCTATTATCTGTCATAAGTGCCTATGACATCTTTTGATAAATGAGGCTACTATGAAGGAGGTAATGTTAGTGATGATGTAATTAATTCTTACCTTTTCCAGCTTTTTTCCCATGCATATTTGCTGATCGTCGTTCATGTTTTGTTCTTGTACCAATAATTGATTGTGTCGCTGGTGTTCCTGCTGTTTGTTGTTCAATAGCATCCGTTTCGACTTCATCATTATTCGATTCATTACCATCATCATCTTCATTACTTCCAATTTCTTCTGAATCTTGTTGATCTCGTTCTTCGTGTAAATTCATCCGTGGTGATGTGGTACACGATAGAGATGATCGTAAATCTTGTGGCTGTTGTTTTAACAATGATTGTACAGCAAGTTCGGTAACTGTTGCGGGTGTAACAGCAAATGCTGATAGATTAACGGCAGCAGCTGTAGCTGCGGCTACTTGTGAAGCAATAAAATCAGTATTATTTGACGAAGTTGATGGTGTATTGTATGAATTTTCAACTTTGACAACAGAATGATATGTAGGTGATGAAGAAGAGAGTTTAGAACGTGTCATTGGATGGTAAGTACGTGTTCCATTTGTAACTGTTGAAGGAGAAGAGGATAGAGAATTGGAAAGTGTTGAATTAAAAGTATTTGATGTTGAATTATTACTAGTTGGTCCATTTGTGGTCACTGTTGTTTGACCGCCATTTGTGTTAATACTACCTCCACCACCACCATGTAAATGTCTCATCATTGCTTGTAATATTTCACGTTCACGATTGAGCTAAAAGAAAAAAAAGATAATTTTTACATTTGAGATTATTAATAGAAATATCTTAATCAAAAAAGATAAGTTAGATTTCAAATCATTAACTTTCATAGTAGTTATGATTTGTAAAAACGTCCAAGGACATGTCCGATTTCCGAAGGAAAAGGGAAGTTTGAGGGGGGGGGGGGCGGGAAGTATAAAGGTTAGGTACGAGTTGAGACAGTATAAAATCCCATTTTGTTTACAACATCTTAAATGTTTGCGTTTACAATTGTATATATTCTTATTAGGTGCACGAAGTTCACTTGGAAGTTTTCACATTTTTGCTTCATAGAAGCAATGCTGACAAGCTCTTATTAAAAGAGTGATTTTCTTTCTTTTTAGTGGCTCACTGAAAACTTTATTTGTACTTTAACTGAAACCTTATCAAAGCAAGACACTTACCAATGCTTCCAATTGTTGAACAACATGTTGTTGAACTCTTGCTTGAGCTACCGATCGATCATCTAATGAATGTTCTTCATTTAAATGTCTGAAACGAAAGAAATCATAAATATAATGAACGAAAAAATAAACAAACAAACAAAGATTTCTTTATGTTACAATTTACCTTGTAAAATCGATTAGAGAAACGCAAATAGTATCACAACTTGGCCATCGACAATATGATCGTTGATATAATGGATGTGAATTTGTAGTTGATTGAAGTGAAGATGTGGCGGTCGTAGAGAGTAATGATTCAGAAGCAGTTTGTGAATGATTGTGATTATTGACAATAGATGAAGATGTACGAGAAGGCATTTGTCTTGAATCTGTACTATTTGAAGTAGCAGCAAGAAGGTTTAAACCTAAAATAAATTAAAAAAACAACAATCAATTAAAAACGAAGTAGATTAAAGAGAGACACGATCATGCTATTTCTTAGAAATAACACTGATAAATATTCACACACACACACACACACAATTTGAGAATGACTATCATTTTATTAGTGTTATGTTATACGGTGTTGAAAGAAAATGAGCACACACATTCTCAAAAAAACGTGCATTAATAAGAAAAAAGAAAATATATACAAGGCATTATAAATAATAAGTGCATATGTTATGAATAAGTAAATAAGTAGAGATATTGGGAGATAAATATATTAAATAGAGATCAATTCACGTCAAACTTTTGTAGAAGACGAACCGGATGTTGACGATGTGGGAATTTGTGTTGTAATATATTGAGCAAGAATATCATTGATATTTAATGGCTGACTTTGTTGCTGTTGAGATGACTGTTGATAGTTTGAAGAAGATGGCAAAGAAAGTTGATAGACGTGTTGTTGATGTGAATTTGTACTCTGTAGTGTTTTAATTGAACAATCTGATTGACTCGTAGTCGAAGCAGATAGTGTTTGATGTGGTACTGTTCGATAAGTTAGAATTGGATAAGAGAGTTGTTGATCATTTGTTGACTCTCGTCCAGATGGATAATGAGCATCTAATGTCGAGGATACATGGTTATATGCAGAGCTAATCTAACTCATATTACAATCCAGATTTTTTTCAATCTACAATCTGTTTTGTAGTCAAAAACAAAAAAAATTCTCTCAAACTATTTTCGGTATAAAAAATAACAACAACAACAATTTCTTCTCTCTAAACTAGTGAGACGCGCAACTCTTTTGTCTCATCTTACCATTATTTTGTTGTAAATATTGTGCAATTGTTGGATGTACGTTTGCCGTTGCTGTAGTTGTAGATGTTTGCGATGAATTTGTTAAATTTGAAAACAGATTAGGTATTTGTTGTTGTTTATTATTATTATTATTATTAGTAGTAGTAGTAGTATTTGCCGTTGATTGTTGCACTTGATGTAAAAGTAATTGTTGTTGTTGTTGAACAGCTAATTGTTGTAATTGCTGTTGAATATGTTTAATTAAATCATTATTTGGTTGAACTGTTTGGGATGACTGTTGTTGTTGCTGCTGTTGTAACAAATTTAATTGAATTTGTTCATTTAATTGTTGATTTATTTTTTCGACTAATAAACGTTGCTAAAATACAGAGAAAAAAACTGGTTATTGATAAATACAAGCAACTTGTTTACTAATAGAAAAAGAAAATTTCTCATTTTCAACAGTAGTTGCATGCATTATTTCATCGAATACTAATAAGAAAAGTCATTATAGAATAGGCGACTTACAACAAAGAAATTTGTATCTATAGCTCAGTCACAAAAAGACATAAGAGAAAACTTTCTAGTAGTTTTGATCAGTTCGGTGATCTGCATCGAACAGCAGTGTCTGTTTGGCAAAAAAATTTTCAACTTTTTGAGATCTATTTGGAGGAGACCTCACGAAGCCGAAAAAGATTTTGTCACTACCATTCGATACAGATCACCGAACTGATAAAAACTATCAGAAATTTTTCTCTTACATCTCTTGGTGGCTGAACTGTAAAGTGTTGCAAGTTGCGTATTGAAAAGTAACATATAATTTAACTTTTTGTAACTTTGTGATTTTCAAACTCGACAGCGACTAGGGATGCACCGATTAATAATCGATGTTAAAGCATTCAGAAAAACCGTTCCCACTTGGTTATAGTAAATCTCTCAGAACTGCGGAATTTTTCATTTTGTAGAGAAAAGTTGACTCTACAAAGGTAAAGTGTTAAAACGGTTCTAATGTTATTTGTGACAGAAATTGAGATATTCAAAAATGTGCAAAATCGCAAAAAAAAATATCGAAGATCGATTATTTTTTTGCGACTTTTGTACGTTTTTGATTAATCATATTTTTTCTATATATAACATTAAACCCTTTTTAACACTTTACCTTTGTAGAGTCAACTTTTCTCTACAAAATGAAAAATTCTGCAGTTCTGAGAGATTTACTATAACCAAGTGGGAACGGTTTTTCTGAATGCCCCAACATTGATTATTAATCGGTGCATCTCTTACAGCGACATATAATCATAGTTAGAACATTCATTTTGGATTTCTATTAAAAATAACGCAACACATCGATAAAATAATTTGAAACGGTGAACGATCGTTAGAACGTATTAAATATGAAACATTTAACGGGTTCATTCACTTTTCTAACGCGTAAAATTTAAAAGTTAAACGAGTATGAAAGCAGTTTTCATCGTTTCTTATTTAAAATTACATTCGACCATGTTAAGTTTATGAATTTAACCCGTTTAAATGCGTTAAATATGACATATATTTGATTATTTTCATATTTAACGCATTCTAACAAACATTAAACATTTCAAATTATTTCATGGGTCGAATAAAATGACACAAAGTGCTGACTATGTCATATTTTCTTTTTCATAGGTCTGTATTTTTTCTCTATTTTGATAGATTGAATAATTTCATGCTGTTTTGAATAGATGAGATATTGAAATGAATTTAAGTTTCTATCAAATAAACTATTTAGGTCATAGTCTTATGAACATCTATCTATCAAAAATATAAATAAATTTTATCTATTTTTTTTTTTTTAAATTTATTTCAAGTTAAATTTTTGTGAAAAATTTTATTCTATTTATCTATTTTTCTACTATTTTTTAAGATTATCATTACTGCTGATGTTACGTACTGTTATTATGTTTTGATATTTTTTTAAAATAACTGCTTCTTTTTCTTCCATTTAGTTTATTATGTTTAAGAGACATTATTACTGACATTTCGTTCCTTTTCTTCTTTCTTTCTCTATTTCTTTTGTTCTCACACTACTCTCTATTCCTGTTATTATTATTATTATTATTATTATTATTATTATCCTGTGTATTGCGTATATGGTATTTTCTTTTTTTTAAAAAGCACAGTGTGGATATGGTACTGATTTGTCGTTGTTTAATAGTAAGAAAAAAAAAGAAAAACAGGCACAAATAGAAAGTTCTTCGAGCGGACACACGACAATATTTGTTACAACGTCAAAAAAAAAAAACGAACCTAGAAAAAAAGTACGCGCGCATGCTTTTTTTCTTTTTTTTTTGTCATTTATTTTTATTGACGAATAAGATGAGTACCCGTATATGTTCAAAAGAAGACGAAGAGAAAGAAGAAAAAAAAGTGATGAACGTGCACCTGAACTGATGCAAAAAAAAAAAAAAAAAAAAAGAATAAAAAAAGAAGAGAAATATCAAACTTTTTTCTGTCTTCACCTTCTCATTACCTACTCTTTAATATCGTTTGATGCGATTACGTTTTTCTGTGTTCAATTTTACATCTATAGTTCAGTTTTTATTTTTTATTTTTATTTTATTTTCTGTTTTTTTTTTTTTAACAAAGAGAGAAAAAAAAGAAGTTGACCGACAACATTCATTTACACACACACAATTTTGTCAAATATACGAGAGAGAGAGAGAGAGAGAAAGAAAAAAAAGAATATGTTTGAATTTGTTTCTTCTACACGAGTATCTCTCTCGTTTATACGATCATTATCTTTGTAGTAGTTGTAAAACTAAAGAAAGAAACTATAGTGTGTAACCGCAATTATCATTGCATCATCATTTTTTTGAGATGGGACTCTTTGTTTTCTTTTTCTCTCTTTCTTTTTTTTTTTTTGTTAGATTAAATTTTTTTTTTAAGAATATGAACAAAGAGTAGAACAAATCAGTTGATAGTTTTTTCATTTACAGTCGATAGAAAAAATACAAAAACGTTTTATTTTATACACTCTTCTTTTCCGTTTAGATATATTTATGTCTCGATCTATTTTTTAATTTAAAAAAAAAAAGTTAGAATTAAGTCAAAAGATCACCAATAGAACGAACTAAAATAAGATTTTTTACGGGAAACATAATTTTTATCATACCTGTAGAAAATTGTTTTTTTTTTTTTTTTTTTCTTTTTTCTTTTTTCTTTTTTTTATTCAACAGTTTGCAACAAGAGATATCAACATTTCTCATCAAGTTTTAAAAAGAGAAATCTTTTGTTTTCATTTCTATTGAACAAATGATTAGAATAATCAATTTTTTTATGCAGTCATAGATGAATCTTATTCTCTCTTACAATTACTTCTATAATTTTTTCTTTTTTTTTCACTCTTACCTGTTCCGGACTGGCTAATATTTGTTGAATAAGAATATTTTGTAATGCATTTGTTGGTTGTAAATATTGTTGTAATAAAGTGGCAGCTGTTGATGGTTGACTTGATGAAGGATTACCACCACTCGAATAAAGTGTTGTATCGTTCGATGTACCATCTAGCAAACGAATTGAACCCTAAAAAACAATAAAGAGTAAAAATACTTTTTATTTAACAAAAATCATGAATGAATAGAAGATTTGAATTAATCTAATATATTTAAATAAATTTTAACGACTAGAACTTCTAAAATACAAAAATCCATAAACTTACGAGTTATATGAATTTCATTTAGCTTTTTTGGCAAAACAGTACTACTACAGTAATGTAATCACCTATTTAAATTAGTAGAGTAAAAGATGGAAAAATAGGTTATGCTGAACTATAATTTTAACTGTAGAAAATTGCAACTTTTGTTTTTAAATGGAATCATCAAACTTTCAAAAAAATTATTTTTCTTTTTGATTATTTTTGATTAAAAATCAAAATTTTATACATACATTATTTGTAGGCGGTGAGATTCCACTTGCTTGAGGATTAATTAATCCATTTGTAACCACGGTAGTTGTTGGTGTTGATCCTGTTGAAGTTTTAGTTTTATTATTTGACGAATTTAATTTCGATGAACGTGTCGATGTTGTTACTCTCATTCTAGTGAGCCAAAATTTTTGTACGTGTATATAATGAGTGCGCAGAGAAAAGCTTTCACAATAATAAAAATAATAAGAAGAAGAACGATGAATGTTTGTTGTGTTTCATGATTGTGTACATGTTGCTTGTCGAATGTAAAAAAAAAGAGAGAATGATTTTTTCCTTCACTTTTTCTTGATTTAAAAGACAAATAGTGTTGTGTTGTGGATATGGTTCTATAACGAGAGAGAGAGAGAAGGAGAGAGAGAAAGAGAGAGAGGGAGAGAGAGAGAGGGAGAACAGAAGTGGAAAGGAAAAGAAAAACACAATAAACAGAAACAGCAAGTTCAACGTGTAGCAATATACGAGTAGAGAATATATAAATAAAGAATATAGTGTATGTTGACACTATAGTGTGTGTGTTCGCTCAAAAGACTAACAAAAAGAAATATAAAGCAGATTTCTTTTTTTTTTTTTTTTTGCATACTCTTCTCTATTAGTTTTCTTTTCGAAGCCTCTCACTAGTATACAAAATTCTTTTTAATTTTTTTTTTTCTTCTTCTTCTTCATGCTGCTTATCAACAGTTGTTGCCTATGTTTATTATTGGTTTCTCTCTTCTTTTTTTCCTCTTCTGTAAACATGCACATACAATCAACGTCGAATATATTTGTTGTTGTATTATAATTATTATTTTTTTTTTCTTCTTTTCAGTCCTTTCCTTCTGTAATGTTCAACTGTGCTGTGTGTATACGGGTTTTCTGACACGACAGGCTTGTTTGTCCGAATCCTATATACACTTAGTTATTTAGTTTTTTTTTTTTATTATTTAAAACAGAAATGAAGGAAAATTCAGAAATGTATAAAAAAAAGGTTCTTTTTTTTTTTTTTTCCTCTTTTTAATTTCATCAGCAGAACATATGTCTCTTTAAAAAAAAAAAAAAAAAAAACGAAGAAAAAATAATGTGTATATGTTGAGGGCCGGGTATAGGTCAACGTGTAAAGAACAACTACTATTATTATTTATATATAGATGAGATAGAAAAAAGAAAATAGATGTGAGTGTGTGTATGTGTATTTTTTTTTCATTACATGATCGTTTCTATGTGATGTAGAGACTAGGCATTAATAAATAATAAATACATTCGACAATAGTTGTTTTTAGAATAGCTGACGACAAGAGAAACAATTTGTTTCAAAAAAAAAAAACAACACATACATCATAATCATAGTAGAAAAACTTTCATTTCTGTTTTATTCAACTAAACTATGAGGAATATCTGAGAATGCTATTTTCTTACTATCAACTAGATGTCGCAGGTACATATTGTCTCGATTCAATGTTCATCAACTTTTTCCTCTCTGTTTTTTTTTTGCACAATTATTCGTCTATTGAATTGTGGTTCAAATTATCTTTTGTTAAAATTTATCAAAAGAAAAATAATAAGTATTGTGAATAGTAAAATGACCGGTTATCTTCTTAATTGAGACTCATTCTTACTTTGTTTCCCGTATTCAGATGTCAATTAAGATTTTCAAAATGAGAGAATCACATTTTATGATTTTAATTTAGAAGATTCGAAATGATTATTTATCATTCATTATTTATCATACAAAAAATGAATTTAACTAAACTGATGTAACAGAATATAGAAATTCAAGAAGACAAAAAAAAAAAAGTTCAATAAACACGTGTCAAAAAAGGTTATTTTCACTCTATAAATATCAAGATAAAATATTTTTCTAAACAACAAAATAAATCTTGAACTATATTGTTTAAATTAAATTTTTTTTTACGCAAACAATAAGAGTTGATATTTCCTATTCTAGACGAGAGAGAGAGAAAGAAAAACACCTCTGAATCATCGATATTTATTTAACGTTTATGTGAGGTGACTACTCTACTCTCCTTTCCATTTAAACCTACTATCTTAGATGAATCATATCCACTTTTATTGTTTAATACCCGCTCTCTTTTCTTTACCATCATTTTTTATTTGTTTTTTGAGAAATGTTACTATAAAAGCTACTATTGTGTTATATTTTCTTCATGAATTTGTTTTTATAAAAACCTCTCTATATAATAATAATAATAATAATAATAATGATAACATATATTCAACAAAAAAAAAGAAAAAGAGAAAAGAAAAGGAAGTTCATGTCTTTTCTTCTTCTTCTTCTTCATTTTATGACCAAAATTTCTATGTATGTGATGTTTACGGTCGACTGAACACTTTTAAAAGCGGTCAATAGTGAAGAATACTATCAGTTTTCATCTAACAGTGTAGTCAAATAAAATATTTTAATATCACATATCTATCTCTTAATATCTAAGAAAATGAATCGATATCCTCCTCCATTTTGAACTAGGCATGAGCGAGTCCGAGTCCGAACTGGAAGATTTTTTGGTGGACTCAAACTCGGACTTGAGTTTTTGTATTTCAAGTCCGATCTATTCAATTTTTAACACAAAAATGAATAGAGAAAAATAAAAAGCGAAATAACAACACCTTCTGTTTCACAAAAAATTGAAAATTTTGTTCGGAAAATGGACATGCGAAGTTTCGCAAAAAATCAAATATTTATCCAGAGCTCAACAAATTAAAAAAAGAGAAATAAACTACCTTCATCAAAAAAGAATCTAAAAGATTACCGGACTTGCCCATGCCTGTTTTGAACAGTATTTATCTCTATTAATGGTAGAGTTACGATAAATTTTTGTGTATGTTTTTTTGTATTTTTCAATCGTCTTTCACAGAAAGATTTGACGTAAATATTATTATAAAAAGAAGTATAAATAAATATTAGTTTTGAAAATAATTTTCATCCTCAAGAGATATTTTTTTCTTAAAAAATTATTTAAACTAAAGAGACAAAAAAAAAAAATAAGAAAAATATACTAATAGTCCTATAATGTTAAAAAATTTCCATTTAATTGTAACCACTATAAAATCTTACTTTAAAAATATATTCTTACAAAAAAGAAAAGGGAGGAAGAAAAAAAAACCTAAACAAACTACTATTATTATTATTATTATTATTATATTGGCCTCTAGCCAAAAGTAAACAGTAAAATAATTGATTTTTCTCTGTATATAATGTATTAGTCAACATTTGATATTTGTTTATATTATTTGCTGTTGCTACGAAGAACAGTAAAAGAAATTTGAATACTAATAACAACAACAAAAATGTATATAATCTAATATATTTGGTCTCTCTTTCTCTTTTATTCTTTTTTCTCCTGTTTTTTTTGCCACTTTTTTTTTTTTTTTTTTATCAAATATGTTTTTTTGATGTAACCAAGAAAAATAAACAAAGAGAGAAAAAAAAAAGTTATGTGTACATAACAAACTATGCACATTAAAGATGTGGGATGCATAAATACAACATTTTTTTTTTCTTCTCTTTTTTTTTGTACAAATTTTTCTTTTCCCCCTCTCTATTTTAGATAAATAGAGTAGAAAAAAACAGAATTTTTATATAAACATGCACCCTATAGTATACAACAGGAAAAATATTCTATTTGAAAAGAAATATTAAACATTTTATCAAATCTAATCCAAAAATTTGAAACTAATATGATGAACAAATTTGAAATCTAATTTGAGATATTTTTTCGACTATTTTTTTAAGATTAGAACGTATTCAACTTTATTAAAGAACAATATTTTTATATCTGATGTATTGTATGCTTAATTTTTAGTTAACGTAAGAGATTTTCATTAAAATAAAAAGGAATGCGTTAACGCTCTATAAAAAATATAGACATTTTCTTATAAAACATTTTCTCATGTATTCGTAACGTTTTGATTAAGGGTATTCCAGTCGTAAACAAATGTTTCTTGAATGATTAAACTTTTACTGTAAAACTTTGATCTAATATGTTGAGAGAGAAATTATCATCTTCATTTCAGGATTCGATTAAAATCCTCGTTCTCTTATATAATTAACTTATCTTTATCGTTTAAATGAAATTGTTTATACACATACTGCACTTGACTATCTGACAATTGATGAGATTGGATCAGTGAAATAAAAGTGAGCTATTTATGCAAAAAAAAAATTCTTTTTCTAACGTCATCTCTTGCTGTGAATGCAATAATAGCAGTGTCTAATTCGAAAACCAAGTCTCACATAGTAAGCGAGAGAAATTTGACTTCATTTTACAAATCAAATGCATTCAGGTAACAGAAATGGTGATAAATCATGTTGCATATGGCTTAATGAGCTAAAAATCAGATAAGAAACAGTTTTGAAATGATAAACTATTCTCTTTTAGTAAAATAATAAGAACAGATGGAAAAACAAACAATGACAGAAAAAAAAAGAGATCTGCGTATTTCTGATTATATTAGAATGAAAAATATTTCCTACAAAGAGAAAAGTTATACAAAAAACGGTTCAAGTAAAAATAACTAAATAAATAGACATGGACGAGGACGTAATTATATGAGTCTAAAACAGATCTTTGACTTTATTGTATACTGTGATCAATCCATTTTTAGTTGTCGACGGTGCATCGGCTAACCAATGAAATGTTTTATGAACACCTAAAACGAAGACAAAAAATTGTAAGTATCGATAAAATGAATGTTAACATCAAATGATCGTCATGTTTTTCCAACGAACAATATATTCGTACTTCAATCGATCAAACTTACCAGAATTCCATGTATCAATAGCACAATTATTTATTTCACTTGTCGAAGGTATCTAAAGTAAATACATAAAACATGGTTTCTAGTTTTTCTCATGAACATTTTTACCTTATCAAAAGCTTCAGCTGTTTCTGGCAATGAATTTCTCAGATTATTAATAACTTGTCTTGCATACTTATTTGCACCAAACACTTCGTTGTTAACAACCAACAATGTTGCTCCACCAACAATTGCCAATTTTCCTGCCATTCTAAACATAAATTAGTCTAAGATATATTATACGAGTCTAGTTATCCTTATTTAACATATTATATATTACATGATACTAGATACGTAATGCCAAACATATTTTAATGAAATTGCTATAACTTTTAGCAATTGTTAACAATGTGTTAGCAATTCGATTCCATCAAAAGTTTAGTGTAATTTTTGTTAATGTAAAAAAGGTTTTCAATTCTTTTTCTTTAGTCATTACCATTTATTCTAAGATATACCGTCTACTCACCAGATGTTTCATGCTTCTCAACAATTTATCTCTGAGATGTGAGAGTGGAGCAGCGCATCATTTGTGTAACTGAGTGAGTTCAGTGTTGTTCGACGGTTGACTCTCATATCTCTGAGATATTGAGAGAGCATGAAACATTTGGTGAGTAGACGGTATATTTTAGAATAAATGATAATAACTAAAAAGAACAAAAGAAAAAGAATTGAAAACTATTTTTACATTATCGATGGACTTTTGAGGACTCTTATCGAATTACTACCATGTACTCTATTAGATTCGTCAAAACTAAAAAGATTATGGATTTCTTACAATATATCCTAGCTCTGTCTTGTCATATATCAATAACATAAGAAACACAAGTAAGAGCCAACTCGTATCATGATGTTACTCAGTTAAAGTTTATGTCGTTGTATTTTTACAAGAAACAATTTGTTTATATTTCTTTGGATTTTAAATAAAGTTTATATAACAGATATCAGTATTATCTTACTTGATAAGCGTTGTCGCCATTTGTTTGAGGAACAAATGAAAAGAAATTAAATCTAAAAATATAAGAACAATCTATAAACACTCTTTAGCAAATAAATACTTTGAACAGGAATAAAAATGTGAAAAATAAAGAATTGGTAGATACGATGAATTGAGCTAGACTCTGAGAAATATGCATTAGCCATGCTATTTTTAAATGATAATATGATGTTAATCGAACTGAAAATCGAAAAGATTTATATAAATAACTACAGGATGTTCACAATGATGAATGAACGTTGAAAGGATGACATACCGATCAACAGTCGAAGGCATATTAAAAAGTACTCCCTAACCTTAGATTAAGAGATGTTAGGATATTTTGAGAATTTTAAAGTCGATGTCGAAGCAAGAAATCACTGAATATCGTCTAATACGCTTGTCATTAACAGAAGTCATCTCATCGAATCACTAACTCCAGAAACTACAACTAAAACACAATATAAGACGCTATTTTTACCGAGACGGACTATATTCCACTGTACTTTCACTCAAGTTTTACTCTGCATAAAACTCCTGCCAATTAAAGTCATTATATAGTTACAATAGAATAAAATCGTTGTTTCCTTTTAGCTCCAATAAGAGACTGTCTACGTCAATTCGACATTGATCCTGACTCCTTGCAGGGCGCATCCTCTGAATAACTGAAAAAGTTGTTGTTCTTTTATCCATTATTCCTCGCACAAAATCTTTTTTTTATCAATTTCACACTACCTCAGAGAGAGAAACTTTTCTTTACACTCGCCATTAATGCTCGGCTTCTATTTGCGATCCAGGCTCCTTGGAGCTACTATTTCGAGCTAAGGGGAAACAACGGAATAGAATAATAATAAATAAACCACTGTTCTGAAGTAGTTGAATACCGATTGGTTAGAACATTTTCCATGTTTCTGAACATTAAAACTCTACACTTCACCCAAAACGAGTAATTACGATAATATTCATTTTTATTGCAGCGTAGCCTTAGCTTAGCTTATTAGGGCCCTTTTCAACCTATAACAGAATCGTTTCTTATGATAAATGAATGAAACTATAAAAAGAAAGTAACATATGAAATCTGTGGCAAAGCCACATTAACCCTTTACAGCCGGCTGCATAAGCCATTTAGTAACAATATCCCCTTCTGTGCATATTCCTTTTCTGTCGGCTGCCAAAAATTAACTAATAAAAATATTCCTCCCTTTATATTTATTGTTTTGCTGTGACAGGGATCGGCAAA